GTATTGGACTACCTTCGTTAGCACCCAAGCCAACTGATTGTATTGGCATAGAATCTCCATTTGAGATCTTACCCTGCAGCGGAACACTAGTGACTCTAATTAGACCAGTACGCTCCTCTAAAGCAGAGGCAAGACTTTCTTCCACGTCGATTTCCGATGGACTTCTGTCGACCTTTTCGAAATGTTCATTTGCCAACTCTTTCGTAAGAGTTTCCAATTCTTCTTGAATCCGAAGATTTGTTTCAGCCACCATAGAGTCTTGCTCTTGGAATTCTGAATGGTCTACGCTATCTTCTAACCGTTCAATATTTATATTATCGGTGTTGGAAGTTGTTTGAATGTCGCGATCTCTTTGGGTAGGTGTCGTTGTGGTGGGTGTCACAAATTCTGTGAGTTTCAATATTTCATTTTCTTTTTGGCTGCTTTCTTCACTTGCAGCCACAGCTTCTCGTACAGGTCTCAAAGTACTTGGATTCGCAAATGAAAGTGAGCTTGATAATTTTATGAAATCGCCACTGCTTTGACTCAATGTAGACGTTTCAATTTCATCTTCCCTAGACAATTCTGTGTGTGGCGCATCTTCATTCCGATTAGGATTCTCAATGTTGAGCAGCTCATGCGAAGTTCTTGTTTGAATCATTTCCTCTCTGGAGCTAGTAGTAAGTTGAGATTCTATAGACTCTACCTGCCCAACGTGTGCTTCTTCAAAGCTCTCATCAATTATTTTTCGGTTATGACTCTCGTGTTTTATAGTATTCGGTTCGGTGGATGTAGGCGGACTCAAGAGATTATTCGAATTCAAATCATTAATAGAAGAAAATCTTTCGGTTGTGGCGTGAAATTTCGTGCTAGCCTCATCTTCAATAGATGTTATTGCATGGGTTTCAGTATTTGCCGTGAGGCTCTTTTCGGTTGGGGGCTTGAAAATTTCCCGCTGTTGGTTCTGATTGAGATTTTCTATACTGATATGCTTAGCGGGGATCTGTCGGATGCCCATTACTATCTCATTACTGGGTTGGTGATTCCATGAATCATCTTTATGGCTCTTTACAGCGACCGCTTTCACCACTCTTACTTGAGTATGTTCTATCGACTCACTTTCTAGTGAGCTCGAGTCATCGCTGTTATCGAGAGTCGAAGTAACTTTTTCCATAATTTGCTGAGAATTACTGGGTGCTTGGGGATTTTCTAAGCTGAAATCGTGGTTCTCACCACTGGACTCCATCTTGATTCGCTGGGTGCTTGCCTGGCTCTCATTCTTCCGGACTCCGTTAATTGGAGGATCTATGTGAGGTAACTCATGTTCTCGCCTGAATAGCTCTGTTGCAGTGGAATTGGGTAGACTTCTGTCTATGAGCGTTGCTTCGATTTCCTTGGCATTGGTCGCAATTGCACCATTTTCTTCAGTTTTTGAATTTAATTCAGTGCCCGAAATGTTGGATTCTTCTGCAGCTTCGGGACTACTTTCACCACTTAATGCATCGAGTGAGCTTTTACTCTCAACTCTTTCAAGATTGGACTGTTCATGAAATACTAACGAACTCGTTGCAATTCCATCGGCCTCTGTTGTGGAACTAACCTCATCGCCAGTATTTATTGATTCACTAGTACTTTCTCTTAACCATTCCATCTTTTCTATTAATCCTTTTTCAGTGCTAACATCCGTTAAAGGCATCTTCATAGATTCTTGAGTGTGCTCTTGATTGACACTTGTGATCATATTTTCTTCATGTTTACCAAAGGATCTTTTGTTTGTAGAAATTTTGAATTTATCGGATTCAAGGGCCATTTCAAAACTCTCTTCAACTGTACCCAACGTTTGTCGTATAGCGCTCGGAGTTCTTGCTTTACCAGCGGGTGAGGTTCTAAGCTCAGTAACAGTTACCTTGTTCCTTGGTAGTGTGTTGGTCGTTTGATTTAGCTCTTGAACTTCTCTACTCGTTTTGGAGTGATCATGTAATTCGAGATTTGTTATAGATTCTTCTCCTTTTTCTTCTAATTTCTTTGAATGCGAGGTGGTATGGAGGTCTTTAGTGACTGGCGCTTGTTTGCTCACGACCGTCTCCTCACTTGTTGTAGTCGTCTTTTGACTTGTGGATAATACTTCATTGTACTCCATATCGTCCTCATAATAACTGACATCTGAACTACCTTTATGCATCCGTATTTCATTTACTACGTCATCCATGTCTTCAATTTCTAGCGCGTCATTTGGCAAAACGTCTTGATTTCTTGCCCCGCCCAATTGCTTTGCACTTTCCGGGACCTTTTGTGTAACGCCTGTTGAAGTAATTGGCGAAAGCTCTGTTATTTTGATTCCTACTTCTTCCGTGAATTTGTCTTTCAATGCGTTTTCCGTTGTTGCCAAATCAGAATCATACTCATCGGAATATACCACATTTTCAACTTCCTGCGAAGTTAAATCAGTGTAGTCTGCATTGTCATTATTTCTCTGTTCTATGACTGATTCGGCTGGTGTATGGGATCTTATGCTTCTGATCTCATTTGTGATTGGATTATTTATGTTTGTGTTGGTGTTGGGTATTTCTGATAGATTTATTGTATTTTGTATAAAATCTGTGGAATATTTCCGTTTGAGAAAGTGAGAGTGTTAATGCTTTTAGTATGGAAACTGTTTAAATTTTAAAGATACCTGATTTCGACTTAAGTACTATGTATTAAAATCAAAATCCCATTGTGAATACGCCCTGTGAGAGTTGGGAAGATCTACGTCCCTGTAGTGGTGGTTTTTTTTTTACCTATGAAGCCTAAAAGTTCAATGGTTTTTTAAAGGACTAAGAACGAATGAACTGTGAAAGTGTGTAAAATAGGAAACTAAAAGACTTTTCAAGCCGCATAAAGTGGTACTAAGTAAAATTATATGATTATGCCAAAATATTCGAGGAACTGCTTGGGAAAATCTTTTCGCGACTCAATGAAGCAGCCATAAGACGAAACGGCTTAGGTTAACCCCTATTCAGTCTATACATGTTCAACATGTTTTATAATGTATAACGATTTGTTGAAGAAATTTGATGTATTGATGTCCATGCATCGAATCGATTGACCGATATGATCTGGGAGGAAATTTCCAAGAATTTAGATGCGGACAAAGTTATCCCACATTAAAGGCTGTGTCGCAAAAATTCACAAACCTAACTATTTTCTGTAGAAAAACGCGTTTGAAGCATAAAAAGCTTGAAGGCAGATATTACCGTCGCTCCGAGATACCCCAAAGAAAGACGCAAATGTACTGAATAGACCAGAATGGGAGCTAATCAAAAATCAGCAACCGGAACTATGGCGTTATAGAAGGTACTTACTACAAGAATCCATTTCAAAATAAAAGTAACTCACCAGCGAAGTTCAAATGCCCCTCAATTGGATTATTGTACATAATCTAAAATGATAATCACATACCCGTGGATGCTGCAGTACTTCTGGTACTTGTGGTTCTAGGTATAGCCGTCGTTGTTGTAGTAGTTTGTGCCGAAGCGCTTGTAGTTTCTCCTGTTGGTGATGAGGATGTTATAGGAGGCATCGTTGTGGTCGAAGAACTTAAAGTAGAATCAGTTAACATTGCACTGTTTGTAGCAGAAACAGGCTCTGATGAAGCTGTAGACGTTGTAGAACCAGGTTGAAGACTACTTGCTGCTGTGGCCATATCCGCAGTAGCTGTGGGCATTGGATTGTTCGTGGCTGGGTTTGTGGGTAAAGCCGTTATTGTAGTGGTAGCTGATGAGGGTGACAAGGATGAGGCAGGATCAATTGATGTTGAGGTAGGATTGGTAGAAATTGTTGATGCTGAATTTGAAGGGGACGAAGATGTTGGGTCTGTAGACATTGACGGTGACGATGTCGAAGAAGTTTCTGCAGATAATGATGTTGAAGTCGGTGAGATATTTGGTGTAGAGGTCTCGGTTTCTGCAGAGGTGACCGTGGAGGAGGATGTTGACACTGGACCTTCAGTGGAAATTTCATCAGTGGAGGAACTTGGTGGTTCTCTTGTTAACAGATCGGGTAATAATGATGGTTGTGGCTTGATAAAGGCAAGAGTTCGTGGAGCAGTTTCTTCGCTTGAAGATGTTTCCATCGAGCTTGCCGCTGCTTCTGTTGTTGTTGAAGGCGCTGTTGTTGAAGTAGCAGTTGTCGTTGCAGCGATTGTCGTTGCGCCAGATGTTGGTTCCGTCGCCGTTGGTGATGAAGCTGTTGAAAGAGTGGTTGAGGAACTAGTAGCGGGAGATGTTTGCGATGTACTTTGCTCAGCAGGAGTTGTTGGCAATGCAGTAATTATAGTAAGATCAGCTGATGACGCTGTTGGTGAAGAAGCAGCCGTTGGTATAACAGTTGTCATCGACGTTGTTGAGGGAGAGCCAATTGTCGTCGGCGTAGCAGAAACTGATGTAGACAATGTAGAATCGATCACTGGGGATTGTGTATAGTATAAAGCTTCAGTTGAATCTACTCTAGAGCCGTAGGTATCTGAATGGATGGAATGAAAAAGGAAGAACAAAAAATTACATAACGAAGGCATGCACCTTATCATCAAATATATGTACCCTCTTTGGAGCATGACATTGAATACTCAGCTGGATATTCGCTATCTTCCAGCGAATCTAAAGCATAATGGGGTGGATATATGACCGGTAAGTGGAGCAATGGTGGCGGTCTGGGATATACTAACTCTGATAGTTGTATGGAATCACAGGCAACTTCGTATTGCGGCCGACACACTTGTCGGGCTGTGTCGAAGAATGTGAGATCAGGACATCTGAAAATTAGAATAAGAAAATATATTTTTTGCTTCTGCTTGCGTACTCCGAAATCACAAACTTGAAGCGTGTTTGTAAGTAGATCCCCTTCGATTGCATGACACACGTGTAGTAGAGCGAACAATCAGTGGGCGCACGGAAAGTGCCATCCTGCAGACATGGTGGGAATTTATGCTCACAATCTTGTGGTATATGCGAACCATGCGTAGACACTTCTGTCGGATTGCACTGTGCACCACAGATACACTTGGCTTCGCGTGGCGAAAATACCGTATTTCGTGGACAAGCGTAGATACGTGGCTTTAGTTGTGCATCACATCTGTAGTATGTAGTACAGTCTGATAAAATAGGAAAACGACCGGGCTTCGTGCAAACTGGCGTGAACTCTGGTGTGGGATAGGGACTACATTGACCTTTGGTGCCATCGAAAAACTAAAAAAAAAGGGAATAAGAAAATTAAACGGTGAAATTTAAAGGCAATCATAATTTTGGTGTTTACCTGTAAATTTTGGCATCTTCCAAAAATCACGCAATCTGGCTTGCAAACATAGTAGTATTGGCGCTGATTAGGATGCGGTTTGATGCCAAAAAACCCACCGGAACAACGCTTATGCTGCGAAGATGAAACATAAATGTAGTAAATATATATATATATGAATGACCCTTTAAAATATTAAAATATTTACTGCAGAATACATACATAGTCGACTAACACTGGTACTCCACCGCCTGGAAAGGAACGCAGTATGCCACGCTTGCTGTCATAAAAGGTGCCAGCTGGCTCAGGGGGCTGAAAAGGATATACATATAATTCCAAATACATATCCATACATATATAATTAGTTTAGACATATAATTTTGCAAGATTATGACAGTTTCAAAGTCAATATTTAGCTGAAAAGCAAAAAAATATATATATTTTATAAAAGATATCTTTAGCGTGTATCGAGGGTCTAGTACTGTAAATTTTGTGTATTTTCTCATTCGCCATTTAGGGGCGAACGCAGGTCGCAGGAAATTAATAAAGTGGCCTTGGCGTGCTGGGTCAAGACGCATGAATGGATAATAGGGCTCCAGTGAAAATATCCCTCGAGACGGATGGACCGGATGCAGAAGAACAAGCCAATACTATGTAGATGTGAATAACTGCCGTATCCTCGCAAATAAGGGGAAATTGGCGAACGATATATTTCGCTGGCTCTGCATGGGTATTTCTTACCAAATTTTGTACCAAAATAGCCATCTATTCTTGCTAATATATGTATGTAGCTTATGACCCCCTGAAAGACAGTAGCGTACCTCCCTCAGCAATAAAACAGTTTTGCCTTATCCTGCTCAACGAATACCCCTGATCCAGAGCCAAGCTCTAACGATGAAAAATTCTGGAGTATCCAACATCTAGTTCAGATAATATAAACTCTGCTCAGTTCTCCTTTTGGAACTTTTCGGGGGCTAATGGTCAGAAGCTGTGGCATCCGACGTAAATTGGAAAGCTGGGTGAACTAAATCGTTTTAAAATCCAGCGTCCGGTACAAAAAATACATTCGCCTAAAGTTTGAAGGCCGTAAAAAGATTTGAGGAAGTGCTAGATGGAATTTTATTCGCATCCCATAGGCCTTGTTGCGAAGAATATGGCGGAACATTTGCATTGAGACTAAAGATAACTGTTGCATCAGACTAAGTGATTCCTCGAATCTGTTCCAAAAAAAGCTCTAAAAGTCATAATTAGAGTTCGGATATTTATGCAAGTGCAAATTTTTGTTTAACATCACTGAAAGTCCGGACCTGGCCAGAATCTCATTATAGGAGGCAGTGAGTTAATTTGATCCTATTATGTTTTGGACATTTTCAAATATTTTGCATATTTCCTATTAATAAAGTATTATAAGTACGTCACCCTGATGAAAACCCTTGTTAACTCCGCCCGCGACAGATTGACCTCCTTCTGGCTCTATCGTGATGACCTGCTGCGCCAGCATAGAACAAATCGAGTTTACCAGTACAGTATGTACTCCATGCCGTACTGTACTCCTGTCATGCTAATAGGCCTGTAGCTAGTATAGCCATCCTTACCAACCTTAGGTTCCAAGGTTGTGGTATGTAGGCCAGGGCAAGCGAAGCTATGAAAATCTTTTTGAAGGGCGCCAAGTAAAGCTCAACACCTTCTTTAGTACAATAGGTAGGATGCCACCTGGGCTGGGCGATTTGGGACTGTCAAAAGACTAAATAGAATATCTTAGGGCATATTCATTAGCCACAGTTCTGGCAACAAAGCAATTGTACCTTGACGTGACCGCATAGCCTTCATCACTAGTCGAGGGAGAGGAAGACGTAATCATCACCTGATTCCCAGGAAAGTGAGTCTGAGTGAGAAGAACAGAGTGTCTCAATCCTAGTCTCCGTTAAAGAGCCATCAGGCCACTTGAGTTAACGCAGCTTTGTGGTTTGGTCCTTCTTCAGAACTTTTTCCAGCCTAGGCGTTTGACTCAAAGTTCCAACCAGGCTGCGGTATTCTTTAAAAGAGGCAGTGTTCGCAGTGTTTTCGGATTTACTAATGCTATGTTCCCACGGCACGTAATTCGCTCTTCCATTCGTAGTTGGCTCTCTATATTCGTAATTGACATGGTAAACAGTGAAGCCTATCCCGCTGCGCGCAGTATTCTTTGCTCCGCAGCCTTGAGCCAATCCCAGCTAGCTTGCGAGAGGCATTTCACCACAATGGTTCCATCCCTCTCTTATGAACAAACATTGGATACAGTGCCGGATGTAATGACGGCCCGGATCAGATGGATCTTGCAGTGTTTAATTTCCGTAGTAGTCATCTTCCGAGGCGAACTCATTGCGAGAGTCGTGTCGAATGCAAGTCGTTTTTCGAGAGTCGAATTGTATCGAAAACTTCATGTCATGCCCGGAGCTTGAACTTGAGCAGTCGAACTACTGTATCATTTTCCATGTCTAGATCTACATACTTATGCTAAAGCAGCTGAGTTTGCAGCGGCATATGTACATATATTCACCACCAGCCATTCGGCCTTAGAAGCAGTAACGACTGTAATTACTATCTTGGCTCTGCTTTCCTTTACCCATTAAAGGAAATAGGAAACCAAAGGACTAGCAAATTGCTAAAAATCACTGTGATTATTGGCAGAAAGCTTTAAGGATCAATTAATGATCTAGCTAGCCCAGCCTAAGTCTTTCGTATTTAACGAGGCTTTTTCTAGTTTAAATTTAGGCTTCTCTTAAAAAAGTTATCATGTTATACTATTTTAGTGCACCACAGTTTATTTATATAGTAAATATTTAATAAAAAAAAAAAAAAAATACAAACACTTCATAACACACTACAACAAATTTCATAATTTTAGAGTTAAATGATGAAAAAATACAAAAGGATTTTTAAAAGTTGGTTACCATTTTTTACTTAGGTTTTAAAATGAAGATCCTAAAAAATGTTCACCAAAATTAAATCTTTTCTTAAATTTTTATAAGAACAAGTAATTTTTCTCATATAAAAATTTAAGTTTATCGTTTATTTCTTCACGATCCGATTATCGGCTCTAAACAAAATTAGTATGGGGCCACCCTTGAGGTACCACCTTTCTGATGAAGAAAGAATTATCGAAATCGGTTAACGTGGTACAAAGTTATGCGGTAACATACATAAAAAAATATTCCGACGAACTGACAGCTCCTCCTTTTTTAAACGCCTAAAACTTCAAATATAATATACTAAAATATAAATACTAAAATGTTTCTAAAAATAAAAAACAAATAATAATTTATTGAATTTTTTTTTCATCAACAACTTCAAGTCGATATATAAGGAAAAGTGGTTACAAACATTTACAAATCCTTTGGTATATATTCATACATTGACCACCTTAAATAAATGCAATTTGTTTTATTCCCATTATTTTTTCAGTGTGCACTGTGTAATTTTCAAAGTATTTTTTTTTTGAGATTAAATAAGCAAGTAAACTCACCTGATAAGTGTGAGTAAGTTGAGGATTATAATATCCTGTGTGCAGCGCTGTATTGCCTTGAAAGGGATAGGGTATTGACAAAGGAGCCACCTGGTATGGTATATTTCCAGCTGGTAGGGAACGCGATAACACGTACGCTAAGTTAGAGATCAACACAAATTCCAGAAGGAATTTCTTTAAGTTACAGTCGCACGCCGTCATTTCAATTAAATAATATGATATTAATTTTTATACACAAAGAAATTTAATTTGAATTAATTAACTTGTGCCCAGTCTTCTACTATCTCTCGCTCTCTATGAAAAATCAGGCGCATTAAATGTATATAAAATGCACTTTTGTTTTTTTGTTTTTGCAATCAGTAATTGTTCAATTTTCAAGCACAAAGAAAAAAAAATTTTTTTTGAAAAGCCAATAAAAGTCAATATATATTCTCTACTTTCTTAGCAATTACACATTGCACTTTTATAGCATTTTTGCTGCGGTGCACATATCCTTTTTTTCGAAAACCGAATCGCGCTTTTGACGTTAATAGGAAGCACTCGTTTTCACTTCCGTTTCCGCCTTCTTTGTATCTTTTTCGCTGTTTCACTTTTCGTTTGTATCGTACGCACTTTTTTTTGCATTTGCGTGGGCTGTTGTTGGTCGTTAATGTCTGTTTTGCTTGCTTATTATTTACTAACTGCGTTTGCTTCTCACCAATCGGAGCGTTAGCCCATGAATGTTCTGTTTACATTTTGCGTGCAGCGCTTTTAATGCATTTTTGTTCACCTACGACGACTGATCGCTTGCGTAATTCGGCTAGAACGTGTAAGCTGCGATTTTATGTTTTTTTTTTTTTTTTTTTTTTTTTTATATTTGCACCTGTTATCGGTTTGGAGTTACCGTTCTACTATATGAATTAGCGATCCAACCAAGTAGACCACTGATACAGTTCTTATTTTTGGTCAAATGCTCTACGGTGCGGCGCTTACGCGTTTGATAAGCAAGCGAGTGTTTTCTTTCAATTTAATCAGCATTATAGCCGCTTCAAGCGTTCACAACTTGTTGCCGACTTTGGCGGCGCTTTACGAGCGTCAAGTTCATGACTCACAGAATTTGTTTGTATGCACTTGCGGCACACAGTGTTTCGACTATATGCAGACAGGTGGAAATAATAGTAAACCTCCACCTATTTTGGTGAAACTTGACATGTGCTCTAATTTTACTTAGAAATAGGGAATCATGAAATTTGGTAAATATGGAATAATTGCCACGCCCTCCACCCTTGTGGGCCGAAACATTAAATTTCATCCGATTTTGATGAAATTTAGTTTGTACTCTCTGTTTTATTAGAAAACCCTAAATATATAATATGGGAGGATTGCTTCACTGCAACGTCAAATATGGGCCCAGTCATTAAATGTGATGGAATTTCGGTTAGTTTTTGTTACCCGCTTTCCACTCTCAGAAAACAAAGGTTGTACTTACAAATTATATAAGTGTTCATATTCTCTTTTTCCTAATGTTTGGTGAGATTTTTCCATTGTTCGAAAAATTGTTTTCGCGAAATTATGCCAAAAGAAAATGAAATTCAAAAATTAAGAAAATCGAAAATTACGTATATTTCCAAAGTCGCCCGAAAAGATCCAATTATATATTCGAAAACTACATAAAATTCTCTAAAACCTGCGTCTAATCTCAAGACCTGACGGACCGGTACTCATATTTTTTTTTACTAATAGTCTTTAGCATCTACATTTCAAAGTAACTTTTTTGATAAAAAATAGGAAAATACCAAATAAATGATAAATACCTTCACCTAAATATTCCACGACATTTAGATAATTAATTACAGTTGAAAAAGAAACACTTTCTGTAATGGGTTCAGCGCCAAATGCAATTAAACTGATTAGTCGGTAACGCGTCCATTCCAGTATTTTTTGGAAATATGCTGTTGGTGGAGAGAAGGGGGGAGTAAATAATGTGAAATTCTTTATTTATGACTTTTACTTTTCCCTCTCTAAGCCCAACTGGTTTTTTGTATCAAGTGTCACCATGACTTTTTTCTACCTGCTTGCATATAGACGAAACAGTGTGCGGCACTACTTTGCTGGCTAACAATGGTAGGTGGCAAGTGTTTCGTTGCATGTAAGGAGAATTGAACCTCCTTCAAAATCATTATGAAGAAATTTAATTTTTGTTTTTGTCTTACCGGATTATTTGCTGATTTGAATTACCATATTTTTGGTTAATGAAGCATTTAGAGGGCTTATATTCAATACTCTCTATCTGCACTTTTCACAAAAATGAGATTCGGATATCGAAATCCACCTAAGACTTAACTGTTATCGGTGATATTAATGCTGACCTTGTATAACGCTTTACTATTAAATTGCAAAGTCAGAGTTAACATCAGTGATGTCAGGTAAGTCCCAGATGGGTTCTAACATCATAAAGTAGTTATTGTGAAAATTTCAGAATTTTTTGAATATAAGCCCTCGATTTGTATAAAGATTTTATAAAAAGACTTTGAGTATGCATATCATCACCGGAGGGGAAGATCGACCTATCTCGGCAGCCAGTTCGAAAACGCCTTATCTCAGAAAATTTTTCAGGAACGCCGTATTTCAGAATTTGATTGAAAAACATACTATGTCAGAATTTGGTTGAAGAGCGCCCTTTCTTAGAATTCAGTTCAAAAATGCATAGGGCATCAGCTGAAAATACATTGAAAGTGTGCTTAGATATGGCGTTCTTCAACCAATTTCTGAGATAGGTTGTTTTTCAATAATATTCTGAAACAGGGCGTTCTTTAATGAAATTCTGAAGTAGGGCGTTCTTGAAAAGTTTTCTGAGATACGGCGTTTTCGAACTAGCTGTCGAATAGGTCGATCTTCCACTCAGGTGACGATATGATCGACAATTTTTTGTATATCGAAATCGGTTTAACACGGTTCAATGTGATCATCTTACGCAACTTTTCCGCACTATTAGAATTTCGAAAACGAAAAATTCACCGCATATCAATTTTTCTTCAATTTCGCAAGAGATGGTTTAGGCAGAGGAATGTTCTTATCATTCTGGAGTAGGGAAAAGCTAAGATCCCAGCTGCCACTGGCACCTTTTCACAGAGATGATATCGTCGCTCCCAACGAAGAGTAGCACATCTCAAATTACCGTGGAAGACTAGCACGTTTCACTATTCGCGTCGAAGACTAGCACATTTCACTAATCGCGTGGAAGACTAGCACATTTCAGATTCTCGCGTGGAAGACTAGCACATTTCGTTATTTGCGTGGAAGACTAGCACATTTCAGATTTTTGCGTGGAAGAGTAGTACATTTCGTTATTTGCGTGGAAGACTAGCACATTTCAGATTTTTGCGTGGAAGACTAG